CTCTCAGAGGAAAAAATGCGTTTTGAGTGGAAGCGGATGTATGGTTTGGGTTTTGACAGAAAAAAAAAGAAAGATAAGTTGGCCCTGGGTTTTGAGGAAGATGAAAAGAGATTCGAGGAAGAGAAGGTGGTTTCAGTTTTGAGAGGAGAGAGGTTGGAGATGAATTCATGTGAAATGGCAAGCAGATATTTTCCACAGAAAGGCGTATGGGGTCTAAGCGACATGACTCATGCGTGGGAGAGAGTAAATGACTAATGCGCTGCAGGTTTATGCTTTTGACTGAGAAAAAAAAGCATGGCTTGACTGGACATATGCATGCCACCCATGTAGGTTCTGACAAACCAATAGACAAAGAGAGCCGTTGGCTCTAGGCTCTAGTCAATAGTCCATTTAATTGTTCTTTTCTTTTTTTTTCAAATGCCATGGACATGTACAAGTCATCCCCTAGCTGGCGTCCATTCCTGCTGAGGTTGGGAACCCAAAAGATAGCATCAATCTTGTCAATCCAGCAGATGGCGTCAATTCCTCCCAATGGGCTGCTGTGCCCATTTCACCCAATAGAGGTCTCGGCCCAGCGTAATGGCATCCAGGTTCTTTCTTTTCTTTATGCTAGTATTTTATTTCTCTGTTTTATTTTCGACTTTCTTATTTTTATTATTTTCTGTCTTTTCTTTTCCACACCTTGCGGACAATGTGTGATTTAAGTTTGGGGGTGGGAAAGTAAATTTTAGATTTTTAATTTTTTGAGTCTTGTTTACAATTTTCGTTTTTAAGTTAATATCCATAGATTATTTTAAACGTTAGAACAAACGGACATGGTGAAGATTAATCCCACATTAGAGTCTTTTCTATTTATTGTTGCTTAGACTCTAATTCATGAATTATACTTTGAAATTTGCACATCACACCAACATGGTTTGTGGGGAGTGAGATTGAAATACTTACTTTTCCTCTAAGTGTGTTTTAATTTTTGTTCAATAAATAAAGTTAGTATGTGTTATCAAGTAATAATTGTCTCACCCAAGGCTTTGCCTAGTGACCGGGCCAGTCCTGCCTAATTAGCAGTGATTCTCGTATCAAACGGTAGAGTTTTGGCATGGGGCAGGGTGGTTAGTTGGTTTCGTAGCCTTTTCAGCTTGAGTTAATAAGTCCTTAGGGGTGTTCTACACCTAATGCCCTAAAGCCCTAGTGGTTTGGGAAACATTGACCTAACGATCGCTACACGGGTTGGATCGAAAGCTTAAGGGAACCGACATTGCACGACCACTACTGTTACTGAAAAAAAAAGAAAAAAAAATAATGATTCTATAAGTATGTGAAGTATGAATAAAAGGGATGAGAGGTAAGGGTTTTAGTCGAGTCTCCTTAACCATGATGGTTCACTTTACACTGAAGGAAGTTTGTGGATTCTTTTCTAATTGATTCTAAATAGCTTAGACTCTGTGGTGGGATTAGTTGGATCTATTGAAAAGATGTTCTAGTTTTTAAAATTTGCCATGGATTGCAACTTGAAGGTGGAAGTTTTGACTTGCTGAAGTGTTAGTCAGGTGTCTAGTTTGTTAGTTTTTTTTATTTTTGTTTGAGTCTTGTTTTGGTTGAGGACAAGCAAAAAGCTAAGTTTGGGGGTATTTTGATGGGCATATTTTATATCATATATTTAATCCCATTCTTAGTATATTTTGGTTGATATTTTGGAAGAATTTTGATACTTTGAATTATATTTCCAATATAGGACTTTCGACTTCCTCGAGAGCAAAAGATTTTTAACATCCATGCAAATCAGGTTAAAATCACATAAAATACTTGCAAGAATACAAGGCTATTGTAGTATAGATGCTCATGCAAGGTCGTTTTTCTCAAGGACTATTTAGTAATTAATGTAAAAACAATCTCTAATTAACTACTTGAAATTAAGAGCTGAGAAGGATGATTATGAAATTGTCTAAAAACTACGAATGTTGACTAAAAACAAATATGATCAAAGAAAAGAGTTTTAAAAACCAATTTATAAAAGCACTAGGATTTCACCATCACCTAGCAATCCTATGACTTTTTACCAATTACTTATGATCTGCACATGCCACTTTGAAGGTTAGGTTTTCCTAATTTATATTCTACTTGGAACCTCCAACGTAGAACGTATATCTAACATGCAATCCGTCCAGACGTTCGGATCAAATATGAACATGAAAGACTCATTAAGTTTTGTGAAAACCCTTTGAAAAACCATGCAACCCTTAAGACGTGGTGTTCATCTTAAGTGAAATTACAATTATTAATCACAAGAAGCCAGTGTCAATTTCAGGGAACCTTCCGACCAAAATTGCATTCAATTACTTTTCTAAAGATCCTAATGGTGATCAGGCATTAAGACAATTAGATAGTTTAAAATAGTGATTAACAATTCAAAGTATGCATGCAATCAATCATAAGCAATTAAATAAAAATTACATATTCATGCTAAGGTTCAAGACTTCACCCTAGCAAAAGGGAAATTAGTTATGCATATTCATAATTAAAATCCAAGAAAATATCATTAAGAATGAAAAGAATGAAAACACCTTAAAGTTGTGAAAACTCCAAAACCCTAGCACGTTCAAAAGCTGAAAAAAGATCCCTAAATTTGCTGTGAAAAATAACTTAAATACCTCCTAAAACCTAGCTGCCCAATCTCCGCAAGGAAACTAGGTTAAAATAAAATAATATTAGGATATAAAGTCCAAATTGGATTAGGAGAATCTGCCCACAATCTGCCCAGCCACGTTTTGGCCTCAAATCTCCTCCAAATCCGGCCCAAGATAGCTTGTTTTAAAGATAAAAGCGTTCTGAACACTTCTCTAGAAGGCCATGAACCCATCTGAGGTCATCTTGGGCTCCAAAAACGCAATAAAAGCCCAAAACGTCACTATTCCAGCACCGTGCACTGCTCCTTTATTTTATTGCCAGAGAATAACCGCTTGGTAGAAAAATCTGAAATTTTGATACGATCAAGCTAAGTGACTAACGAACGTCCTCCAACTAGAATTACTCCAAAATTCATCCATTTGATTATGTTTTGCTCCAAAGGAAGTCGAAAGTCCTATATTGAAAATATAATTCAAAGTATCAAAATTCTTCCAAAATATTAACCAAAATATACTAAGAATAGGGTTAAATATATAATATAAAATATGCCCATCAAAATATGCATTGAGACATCCACCTTATATATAGATCATATCCCACCTACCACCACAATAGAGGGCTAGGATCAACTGCTACCTAACCATCCGGAATCTACCTACTACTGTACATTGAATCTAGACATGTGGGCTAAGAGATCTAGAGTGATCCATTCGACGGGCCGGGCCTTGAGCTTCTCTTGTGGGGCTTGACCTTCACAAATGGATCATCTAGGTTGACATGATAGTTGTTGAGTTGAGCCTTCAACATGCGAGTCATGACACTTGGAATGGGTAAATCTGCCTAAATCCCTTGGAATGGGTAAATATGCCTAAAGAAAAGTTGGTAAAGCAACTTTCGTTCAAAACAAAGTTGGTACTTTAAGACAAAAGTTGGTACTTCAAGACAAAATATAGTTAGCACATCAAGGAATAGAAATATAAAAATATACTATGGCAGACAATGTAATACTACATATAATATAATTATAATTAATCTAATTAATTAATTATAATCGGGCCAGGTCGAGCTTTTAAAGGGCTTAGAAATGAGGCCTAAGCCCTACATATTAGACTTTGGGTTGGGCTAAGCCAGCCCATTACTTTAGGCCGAGTAAGCCCACACATCAAAAAATCGAGCCAGGTTCGGGCTAGCCCATTGGGCCTAGACTTTATTTACAGGCCTAGTCAAGATTATATACATATCAGGAATGCTCAATCCAAACCCGACTCGTTTAATAAAAGTGTCATACATGGGTTGACCCGTTAAGTTCTCGTGTGGGTTTTAGGTCGTGTCAGGTTGACCCGCTAAGTGGTATCCACTAAAAGACATTAAAAAAAAAGTAAGATGAAGAATAAACAAATAAACGGGTTAGTGGGTTGGCGGGTTACACAGGTATTTTAGCGGGTTAAAGGTATTTAAGTGGGTTGGCGGGTTAACCCAAAACCCACCCATTTATTAAAAGGATCATGGCGGGTTGACATGAAAATGACCCGAATTTTAATTGTGCGTGTTGAACCCGCTAAATTCTCATGCGGGTTTCGAGTTGTGTAATGGGTTGTGCCCGAAATTGCCACCCCTAGTTTTTTTTAATAAAATTTTTATAAAGTTTATTTAGATTGATGAGGAATGACGATTCATATATTTCTTCTCTAATATTTTAGACCACCTCCTTATAAAAATTTTAGGAAGGAATTGAAAAAATACAATTCTAAAATAGGGAGACTTCTAGGAGCTTCTAAATATGAGGAGAGAGAAAAAAGTCATAGTGGCTCCCTATAATTTAATGATGCAGTATGATTGGTGTTGAAATTTTATAGAGAGCTCCTAAAATAGCTTTTGTGTGTTTTTAGCTAAAAAAAAATTAAGAGCATGATTTTGGATGTTCTTAGGCATCAACAGTGACAAGTGCTTATTGCCGAAACCTAAATTCATGTTAGCATTTAACAAAATTCTTAACGATCTTACTAATGAAAAAGATTGTGATAAATATTTTTGTAAGTTTGAATATGAGTTTTTAAGCTCCCCTCCTCTCTTCCTCCCATCTCCCATTCTCTCTTTCTCCATTCTCCTCTCTTCCCCCATTTTCAACGACATAAGGTTTCCCTTTTTTGTCTTCGCTTTGTTATGATTTTCCTCCACCCATCACAAGCTTCTGCGTCTCATCGTCAGATGTCCACCTGCATTTCATATTCAGATCTTCATACTATCCTTTTTGTGGTTTTTTTTTTTTATGTTTAGAATAAATCGCAAAGACTCTTTGGTTTTTATGTATAGTTTTCACCTCTATCTTTGTAGGAGTTTTCCACCTCTCTTTCGTGAGATTTTATTTGTATTGTTATGACTTGGTTTTTTCAAGATTTATATCTTTTTTATTGTTCTAAGTTTGCAATCTTAGTTGGGCTGCATATGGCAGAATTTTTGTTAGATAGCTTTGTTATTGTAATGACCATTTGTGGCTAGTTTGTATTGGCGATGCTAGTGACTTTTTTTTTGCTGAATTATGAATCCAATCCCAGAATTTCTCTAAAAAAAAATAGTTTGTAATTGAATTCGGGTACTAATATGAAATAATTATCAAGGTCGCGGATTTTATGTAGTTGAGTTTGAAAAAAATAAAAGTCATTGGTTCCAAGAGCTATTTTGTCACCATCAAACGGTGAATATCGAATCAGCCTCATCCTTAAACCCACCCTCCCCGCCTTTCCATTCCAATTTCCACCCATTTCCCTTTTTATACAGTTATACCGTACAGATTAGACTTTAGAAAGAGGAGAAGGAGATTTCTTTCCAGGCTTAAGACTATGTCGTTTTGCTCGTCCCTGTCATATCCCAACTCTCTGTTTCTCCTTTCCAAAACCAAACCTTTCTCTGCTGATATCAAACCTCCAACCGTCTCCCTCAGCTCTCGATTCAGAGCTTCTGCTGACGTTCCCGATTTCCTCTCAGCTGATTGGTTCTCTCTCTCTCTCTCTCTCTCTCTCTCTCTCTCTCTCTCTGTGAATTATTTAATGTTTAAATTCAAAGTTGATGTTGATGTTGATGTTAATTTTGATTTCAAGCTCTGCTTTGATATAATTTAGAGTTGATTATCTTTGAATTGCAGGCTAGAATCTCGCAAGAAGAAACCCTTTGGCCCCAGATTAAATGTAAGCATCTGATCATGCAAAAATGAGCACCACCACCATTTCACTGATTGATTTTTCTTTTCTTTTTAATTTAGCATGTTGTCAATCTATGTGACCTGTGCTCTAGTTTAGCGCAGAAGAAGTTGTTCAGCATCAGCTTGATGCCTTGAAGTACAACGACCAACCCCGTCAAGATTATGGCATCGAAGTTTTGTACAGGGTAAAGTTTCGTCATTTCTTCTGCTGGGCTGGCTTTATGTTTCATATCACACTGAACAACAGGGTGGTCTTTGAACTGACCTTTTTTTTTTCCCTTTGTTGATAGTTTGCGGGGTTTGATCCTTTTGAAAGGTCCACCTATTTTGGGCCATTCTTTGATTTGGGGCAGGTTGGTGCATTTTTGAATTTTTAATAGTTGTAGAGTTGTACACAATTGCTGATATGATATATTATAGCTAATACTTTTGATCTTGGTTGTCTGCTTCACTGTGAGTGCAGTTTGAACGATTTCGGCGGATTTTTCACCATTCGACCTATAGAGTGTTGCTAGGCCACAAGGAGAGGAAGATGTTGAGCAGTTTGTTTGTAGAGGAGGTATGAGTTGCTGTTCAGTGTGATGCGTGCATAATAATTTGAGCTCTTATATGTAGTGTAACTTTGAGCTATCTGTCATACTAGTCTTAAGTTTTCTGATGTTAACAGTAAATTTGTGTTTCTAATCAACTGTCATTGTTTAATGAACTGTGAACTAGAACCGATTCAAGCAGCGGGTTTGGATACGAGGAAGTCGTCCAGAGGAAGAAGAAATATTTCAGTTCACAATGGTTCAGGTTGGTGAATATGTATTGTTTATGATAATTGTCTCAAGGGAATAGGAGAGTGGTGAACATGTCTATGCAGGATAGGTATACTATGTGAACTATAATTATATCGTACCAGTTCTGATCTGTAGCTTGTTGTTGGCAGAGGGTTGGAGGTTCATGGGATGGTTATTGGCTGACGGAGAGTTTACTTCATGATGGAAATGCTTTTGCTGGCGGCTTGGCGTATTGAACATTCGATGCAGCTATTCGGACGATGGTCACTCTGAAGGAGGGAGGTCTGTTTATGCATGACATTTGCTCACCTACTTCCGACCTTAGAATTTGTACATGTGGAAGAATAAGCAAAGCTGTTGTAATATGTTGTAATTATAGTATTTCTGGTTGAACTTTGTAAATCATATATTGTATATTCAGTTCTATATGTTATGTTAGTAGGCAGCATATATTTTTCCTCGTAAAACAAAAGAATAATCAACGAGAGATATGGGCATTAATCCTTGTTGCTCAGGAGCTCTCAGTTCAGCAATTTATGTGCTACGTCTGAGTAGGATTCACAGACTTTAAATTCCACGGTCGTTGCAGAATTGCGAATCCAAGCAACTTCCTCATGAAGAACCAGAAGGGGTTTTCCAGATATCCAATTTTTTTTCCTCCCACTCAACATTTACAGATAAGTTGGATTGTAAAAGCGAAAACAACTTTGGCCCTTCAGCACTGTGGGAGGGTCTTGCCAACCTCTCTCTCCCACTCATGGTGGCTCAGGTCAAGATACAAGGCCACTGATGTTAGGGCCATTGCACACAGATAGTGGCGCATTACCTTAATAAAATGCTGAAATCACATACCTGGTCCAAATAAATTACAAAACTTTCAAGTGCTCGTAAGCTAATCCAATCATTAGAAGACATTCATTTCTCTTAAAATATAGCAGATTAACTGTTACATGATTCAGGCTTCCAACAAATGTTAGCAAAGTTTATAATTCTAAAAACTAGACAAAATCCAGCATAATTTAGAAATAACAGAGATCAAAATTTAATGTAACAACTCCCCATTGATAGCTTTGACATATTATTTCTTTGTCTGAGTAATATACTTGGTAAGGACATAGCAGTCTGGAGGGGTGATGTTTGTGTAGTAATTCTGGATGGTTTCCGTGATTTCAAACCCAAATTTCTTATAGAAGTTTATGGCGTCTTCATTGTTTGTCTGAACATGCAAGTAAATTTCAGAAATATTTTGCTTGGAGCTCAGATCAAGAGAATGGTTCAACAGCTTTTTACCTGCACAAATACCAGAAATTAGATCAGAAAACCTGCACATACTTGTAAGCGTCCAGATTAACCAAATTTTTACCGTACCACCAAAAAGTGTGAGGGATTTTTATTGACAACCTAATCTTAAATCAATTAGAAATTTCAAAGGCCACTCTACTGCATAACAAGTTGTATCCAGAAGACAAAGTTAAACAAAGGATGGTTCATGTATTTCGACCAAAGTCAAAACCAATAAACATGAATTTTTTGTTTCTCAAACAGAGCCCTACTGCCATACCAAAGTTATAAGAAGAAGAAACGTTGCTTGCTTACCAATGCCCAGCCCACGATATGGTGCTAAAACTCCCAGTGTCATGATGTACACACGGACAGCCCCACCTTCCTTCTTCTCAAGCCGGCATGCAATTGCACCAACACATATGTCACTGAAATATGCTGTATAAAAACAACAGCAGGAATTAAAATTTCAACATCCATAATTTTTATCAATTTGGCATCCACAAGAGAGCTAAGGATGGCAAATCCCCAGAATGATAAATTCAGGACATACCTAAACACAATAGGTTTGTAATTTTCTTTACATGTACCAGGTATATCAATCAATCTAATCTCCTAGACCACACATGCACCTTCATCAAGAAACTATAAGAAATTGACTTGGACAGCTCAGTCAATAAGCATGTTAAATGATAGTCCCACAATTGGTCCTTACACATACACATTGTGCACATATAGTTCATAACAGGATACCTTTGAAAATGCTCAAGCCACTGTCCCACCCACTTCTTCATTCATGAGTTCTGACAAGTGTAGAAAAGGTAATGACCTTCTTTGCAAGTCTAATATAAGAGGACATACAACAGCAGTCCTTCCTAAAATCAAGCGGGCGTATTAAAAAACCAGCACTACAAAAATTTATTAGGGTAATAGATTACGAAAACAAACAAAACTCGTAAATGAAGACATTTTAACTTTCAAATCTTCTTTTTCTTTTATTGAGTAACCTTTCTGATTAAGAATTTGTGGGACAGTTAATCACTCGAGTACCTCATATGATGCTGCACATATGTAGTTCCTCGCGGTTTTTTGAGAACATCAACAAGGAGAAACAAGTAGACTCTTGACTCACAAATATATCGAACCAAGCATTACTACACATATCTAAACTATCCCAAATTCCTGATAAAACAATAACTATCCATTCCCCATTTACTTGAAGGCCCCCCAGTGCACTGAGTGTGTTATAAGTAAAATAGTACATTTGTGTCATCAACATTCTTCAAAAGTGTAGCATTTTCATATGCAAAGAGCTAAAAGCCAATATTTTCTAACACACGCCATAATTTTTAAATAAGCATAAGCAAATCAAACAACAAAGATTACAGACTACGCACAGTGGAAAAAAGCCACGAAATACACAAACACACAGTAATTGGAGCATAGTTACAAGCTCAAATGATAGAAGCCAATCAAAGCTTTACAAATAAACGAGAACTATGAGAGATTTCAAGGCATTTTGCGTCAAAAAGCTATATTGGTAACACGAAATAAGCGAAACCCAGAAAAAATTATGAAAAAATAAGCAAGACCCAGAAGCGTAGCTCAACCTAGTTTGGTGAAATCGCCAGAAGCGAGGGCATCGGCGTAGTACTTGTCGTTGTAGCGAACTGGGAAGAGAGCAGTGTTGAGCTTCTTCAGCTGCATCACGTTCTTGTCCCTCAGTCCGTCCAGTGAGCTTTGGACCTCACGCCCAGCCCCCATTTCTCCACAGATACTTTCACTTACAGAGAAGAAAAGCACAGAGAGGGTTTTGCGCACAGAGAGAAGGGGAGTGAGGGGAGGGGGCGGATTTGTAATTTTGGACGGACAGCGTATCTTTGGGTTTATGTAGTGGTCCGGGCGGACCTGGCCAGGGCCTAACTGGTAAAAGTATGAGATTCAAGCCCATTAACATATCTCTAAATGTATGCGGTTTTTATTTTTTGGTTTTTTCTTTTTGTTACGAACTTTAAAAAAAAATTATATATTTAATTGGGTGCCACACGTAAATCCTTTCGGCTCGTTGTTGTGGGTATGCCCTAGCGCTGCTGGTGAGAGTAGCCAATCTCCTTCTAAACTTTTTTTCATTAAAATATATATATATATATATATATATATATATTATATATTAAACCACAATTGGCTAACAAGTCTAGCCTAGTGAAAAAAGGTTTTGATTTGTAGACAAGTGGTCTCAGATTTGAAACTCCATGACATTTTAGTAATGTGTGTGAAAAAACCATCTTCCCCTACCTAACTTTGACCAAAACTGAACAATTATCATTAGTTAGATTTATACTTGAGACTTCTTTCAATAAAGTGAAAACTATGTACCACAGTATCAAAATATATTATCATTTTTACGGGTAAAATTTCCACAAACTTCATATCATTATTCTGCATTATCTGTTACATTTTCTTCATCAATCTATTTCATGTTCAATATTATTTCTTTTTTCCTAGTAAGGACCATAAACATAACTCCACAAATATCTGGCCTCTAGAAAACCATCTTCTCATGTGAGGCCATATGATTTTCTTGTAGTGTTCCTACTGTCTTTTAGTCGCAACCAACTTTCTTCAATTCACCAAAAACAAGAGATTAAAAAAAAAGAATATAAAAAAAGAACCCTCCTCTAGATGGAGAGAGACACACTTCCAACTTTCTTCAATTCACCCAAAAAAAAACAGATAAGAGAGAGAGAGAGAGAGAGAGAGAGAGAGAGAGAGAGAGAGAGAGAGAACACTGTGGCCTCTCTCTCGAGAGAGAAGAGAGAGATGACTGATCAGAAGAAAAAGCCCAAGGCAGTGATAGTGGGAGGGAGCATAGCAGGGGTATCATGCGCACACACGCTCATATTAGCTGGGTGGGATGTTGTGGTGGTAGAGAAATCATATGCAGCCCCAACTGGAAGCCCAACTGGGGCAGGACTTGGCCTTGACCCTCTGGCTCTAAAACTCATTCAGTCATGGATCAAAGAGCCTGAGCTTCTCAACAAGGCCACTCTATCCCTCACAATTGATCAGGTACAAACTTCAATTAATTCCCAATTCAATCTTGTTATATTGCAATTTTACAAGTTTCCTAGTTCAGAAATTTTTTTTTTTGCTATGTAGAATGATGCAATAGATGGTGAGAAAAAGGTAAAATGGACATTAACTAGAGATGAGGACTTCAACTGTAGAGCAGCACATTGGGCTGACCTACATGCCCTTCTGTACAAAGCTCTACCACCAAACTTGTTTCTCTGGGGTCACCATTTCCTATCTTTCTCCGTTTCTAGTGACAAGGGTTCAGTTAAAGTGAAGGCCGCAGCTCATCAAATGAATGAGATCATCGAAATCGTTGGCGATTTGCTTGTTGCTGCAGATGGGTGCCTCTCCTCTATCCGCCAAAGTTTTGTCCCTGACCATAAACTGAGGTTTGTGAATGTCAACCCTTTTCATGAAAAAGTGTATATTTTATGGTATTGATTATAAATGATTTTGTAGGTATTCAGGTTATTCTGCATGGAGAGGCGTTCTTGATTTTTCAGGAAATGAGAATTCAGAAACCATAATTGGCATCCGGAAGGCATACCCTGAACTTGGGAAGTGCTTGTACTTTGGGTTAGGTTCTGGAAGTCACACTGTGCTATATGAGCTTTTGAACCAGAGGCTCAATTGGATTTGGTATGTCCACCAACCAGAGCCTGATCTGAAGCGTAACTCGATGACCACGAAAGCAAGCAGTGACACGATCCAGAATATGCACAAAGAAGCAGAGAAGGTGTGGCTTCCAGAGTTTGTGAGAGTGATCAAAGAAACTAGGGAGCCTTTCATCAATGCCATATATGACAGTGAACCTTTGGAACAAATCTACTGGGACAATGTGGTACTAGTTGGAGACGCAGCTCATCCCACAACTCCTCATGCTGTAAGAAGCACGAATATGTCGGTATTAGATGCTGCAGTGCTAGGCCAATGCCTGAAGAAGTGGGGAGCACAAAATTTGCAATCAGCTCTTGAAGAATATCAGTCAATTCGCCTACCAGTTGTATCCAAACAAGTCTTGCACGCAAGGCGAATGGGTCGGATTAAACAAGGCCTGGTTCTTCCTGATCGACCGTCTTTTGACCCCAAGACTGCTAGTTCAGAGGAATGCCAAGAGCTTCAACAGAGACTCATGCCCTTTTTCAGTGATGTTCCTGCCATACTACTTTGATTAAAATGTTACGCTCCTGGAAATCATCAAGATAGATTGTTCTTCCTCTGCTTCTGAGAGCTTCAACAGAAGAATAGCATACCTTATTGTATTTAATTTGATGCAACGCAGCCAATAGGGAATGATCTCTGTTTGAGCACTGTTGTTCAATCTTTGTACATGCATTATTCTGTTCAAACTATTTATAGAAGAAAAAAAACAAGGTTCATCTGATATGAAAAAAAATTAGATACAGAAATAAATCAGCTTCTTTCAGAGAGGTGGTTTTCACAAAAAATCATTACGTTATTAATTCAGAACTAAGATAATACGGTCTACCACCATGAATGAGGCAATGCTTAACTCATCCTTATACAATATAGAACAACCAGCTCTCCCACAAACTCATTCCCATCAGATTAAATACAGCCTAAGATTGATACAAGTGGGCAAAATAATATTTCCACAGTAGTTTGAACATTCCTATCACTAATGATGAAAAGCACAAAATACAGAAATTCATTTGCGCACATAACATGGTAATGTGTTGCCAAGTTCTACTGATCAACAAATTATCATTTCGAAGGCCATGTTGCTTGAGCTGACATTATGATTCCCACAATCACTCCAAACAATCCAAGTGCGCTGCCAAAGATCTCAATCACAAGGATCTTCACAAAAAGTGAAGAGTTTTGGGCATCAGACAATGCGCAGCTGCTTCCAATGATTCCCACACATAAACTGCCACAGAAACAAAATCCATATCAAAATCATCATATTGCAAGAACCACAGAATTTTTTTGAGACTCCATAAAGAAAAACAACAAAAGTGAGAAACGAGGCTAAAGATATCAACCCGCAGACAAGGTTTGCAAAGCCCACGATAATCCCAGAGGCGAAGATAGCATATCCAGCTCTAAGAGACTCAGGTGCATATATCTTTGATGCTGGGACATTCTCCAACTTCGTTTGTAGAATAATCGCAACAATAACACCATATATAGCAACAGCTTCACAAAAGATTACACTGATACAACAGATGTATCCCATCGAAGTTAGTCCTTAACGTCAGACTTACGAATGTATAATCAGTGCTATGTTTAAGTCAAAAATTCAACGTACATCATTCACTATAAAGAAAACTTCTAACAAAAATGGCAGTGAGCTTGAAGTGAAAGAAGATAACAAAACTTCACACATTGGTATGAAGAAACAGTATTGAGGGGTGTTTTGAATAGATAGCACAATTCTCCATACACCAATCAATTAACCAAGCTAGTTATATAAGTGATTGCCAAAAACAATTAGAACCATTTCTCAATTAAGACTAGACATCCACTATCAAATCCAATTACTGGGATATCACTTCAGATCATCATAATTACCTCAATTTCTGGGATTTTCATTTTACTTTATAAGTTTGTGAATCGAAAAGCAGAGGTTAAACAAACATGTAATGGAGAAATTGTGTTAAATTTCATAGAAATCATTACCTAATGAGATTCTTAGAAGTGATACGAGGGGCCTTGATTGCTGCACCGATCAAACTGCTGCCAGTGATATAAATCCCCCTAATTTCCACACAATAATTTCCATAATTTAATACCAACTTCAAAAATTAAAACTTTAATTAAGAAATGAAGATAGGGCAAGGGAAAGAGAAGAACCAGGCGGCGCCAAGAACAGAGACGCCGATGGCAACGGCGATTCCGATGGCGGAGAATGTGTACGGAGAGATCTGGACTAGGGCGCGCGCCCATGAGCTCGAGTAACCCACCACTACTGCACCTGACATCTTCGAAAACCCTTCTTCTGCTTCTGGTTCTTCTTCTGGGTATTAGAGGGAGGGTTTCTGATCTGATCGGTGTGAGATATTGTGATATGAGAAATTGAGGAGGAGAGGGATGGAGATGTGTGTCACACGTGCTCTGTGCGCGCGTGTTTCTCTTCCAGTCACTTATGCTTACTGGGCTGTTATTTTGGGTCTGGATTTAAAAGCCAAGAGGACTTTTACAATTGGGCTTCTAAACGACGACTTAATGGTTTTTGGGAAATTTCCTAGATGGTTCTTATTTTCTCATTTATTCTTTTACATGGATCTCAAAAATATAAAAGTTAAAAGAATTTATCTTTAATAAGGGGTTTGAAGGAGGGTTTCATATCCACCATCAAATCAAACAAGGAAAATTCTATAGTTGTATACTTCATTGTAATTATTTTGATAGTCTTTTATTACTTTTGAAATAACTATTATGATTGTCTTCAAAGACCCATCTGCCATGTCATGTCATAATTTTACTTTCCCTTGTCAAAGTTTCTTCAACAACAAAAAAGAGAGAGAGAGAGAGAGGCAACAAAAACAGAGTTCATTATGCAAAGGCAAACCTGCCAACAAGATATTAGTTTTTTAACTGGATCACGAGAATCTCATTTCCCCCAATACACGAGAGTTTGTTTTTTCTGGTTCCTCTATGCATGGACCCTTCAACCTTCCTTCATCTCTAACTTGCAACCGATAAATAAGAGCCTTGATCATCATCGGAAATCCCAAGCCAGATCCTAGCAATGGCCGAGATCATCACAATCATTTGCAAACGCACCGTAGTGAGTACAAAGCCAGTCCAAGCAGGAAAAAGCTACCCCTTATCCGCCCTTGACCGCCATATGGAACACAACCATCTTAGGATGGTCTTGTATTACCCATCAATGGGTGCCCCAACAGAGCCTGGTGAGATCACAGGGAGGCTCAGAGAGTCCCTCGCCGTCACGCTTACGCATTTCCCGATCGTTACGGGGCGGTTGCAGAAGAATGACAATGATCAGTGGATGATCAAGTGCAATGATGCTGGTGTGAGAATGCTGGAAGCTAAGGCCAAAGGGAGTTTGGAGGAGTGGCTAAGAAATGTGGATAGGGACAAGGAGCTTATGCTTGTTTATTGGGAGGAAATGTACCATAAGCCTTACTTTTGGTCCACATTTTATGTTCAGGTTGATATATTATATAATTATATTGACATTTCAACAATATAACATTTTTTCGTAATATCATCGATAGTTTCTTTATTTTCTTGTGTGCAGATTACTGAATTTGAGGATGGTGGATTGGCAATTGGGCTAAGTTGCACTCATCTCCTTGCAGATCCTACTTGTGCCACCATGTTCATCAAGGCTTGGGCCGACATCACCTTTCCAGGCAAAATGATGAGTCCTCCATTTTTCTATCCATTGCCGCCGCGGAGTCCCGGCAACACAAGGCCCAACCACAAGCCCTATAATTCATTGATCAACCACTACAAAGCCTCCATCAACAAGTCCATTGATCTTGTAGACAAAAAGCACACAACTGTTAGTTTTGGTTTTTCGGACAACATGGTTCAGGCCTGCATGGAAAGGGCCCAGCCCAATGGTGCAAATGACAGATCAAGCCCATCACCATTTGAGGCCCTGGCTGGGCTATTTTGGGTCTGTATTAGTAAGGTCAAAGGAGTGAGAAATGGGCTTATTGACATGTCCATATTTATGGATGTTAGAAAGGTTTTGGGGTTGGACAAGGGCTTCTTTGGAAATAGCATGGTTTATAATAAGGTCCCTCTAGAGAGTTCCCAAGATAATAGTCTATCACAAGCTGCAACTTCTATAGGTGAAGTTGTAGCAAAAATGGACAATGAGGGAATCATGGATTTGATCGAATGGCTTCAATGCAACGATTACCAAACTCCTTCGTTGATGAACAGCTGCGATCTCATTTGTGCTAGCTTAGAAGCTGTGGACCCGTTTTCAACAATTTTTGAAGATGGGATTGCACCGATTCATGTTTCGTGTTATATTGAGCCGGTGCTAGGATTAGGGAAAGTCCTGATCCTTCCGGCGAAACCCAGTGAGGGCCAACTAAGTAGGGTGGTGATGGTTACACTTCCGCGTGATGAGGTAATCAAATTATGTGAAGACGATCTTATTTTACAACTCTCTCCAACCCTCTTGATGGATTTGAACAAAACCTAGCTGGGTTTCTTAGTACAATACAAGGGTTGCACTATATCCCAACAAAAATTGAGTTTCAAAGTCAATGGCCAGAATTTAATTTAGTACTATCTATGTGAGCATCAAATGTATACAAATGGGTGTGACAAGCCGTCCAAAATTATATATGTTTATGTTTATTTTCTTCAATTCTTGTTTTGATTTTGTACCCGTGATAGGGGGCTTGTATTCATCATGGTGGTGACAAGCCGTCCAAGTAAACCCATCAAAACTGGACACATTTCATGCCACCACAAAACCTTCAATTTCCCAGACCACTAGACATTACTGTTAAACATGTCATAGGATAGTCGTAGAATGGAAAACATGTACTATTTTATTAAACATCCGCCCACCAATTTCCTTTTTTGTTGTTGTATTTTTTGTATTTTTAGCATTTTGGCATTAGAATATATTTAGCACCTCACAATTCATTGTTCTCTTCCATATTTCCAAACTTGATTGTGTCCCCTCATCCAATCTTTAGCAGAAGCTCCCAAAGCATGACGTGTATGTTTCAACCACAGGAGGTTACATGCAATGTATTTGTGAAGCTAAGTATTTATTTTCAATTTTTTTATATAATTAAACTATATATCTTGTAATCCTTAATATGTTATGAAAATTTAGAATGACAATCAGTTTTATTCAAACCTTATGAACGACAGTTATGAATAGGAAAAAAATATAGGTCAAACTATGAGGCATTATCTTCACCAATTGTCCGGCCATATACATAATTATATGTACTTTCTGGATTAGAAAAGCATAAGCAAAGGTCTACACAGCTAATGCCCCTGATTTAAAGGGAAATAGGTTATTATTTAACACAATGTGGACAAGTAGTTTTCTCAAATTACTTGTAGTTTGATTGAGACAGACAACACTTGCAACTGGAACTGAAACTATGACGTGCCACTTCTCCAAACAGAGCTTAAATAATGATGTTGGTGTTGCAGTTGATGAAGCATCTTACTTGGTAGATTTGGACTT